TTCCAGCATCGGAACGGAAAAAAGTTGCCCCGGCCGGATTCGCACAGATCCCTAAATGTACCTTTTTTTTTGTAGTAGCGGTCCCTAGAGAAGCGTAATTCAAGTGACAACGATGTCTGTTCTTCCGGCAGGCAACACGAGTAACGAAACACATCTTACTTCAAAGAAAATAAAAAACAAACTACCTTATTCAACGAAAAAAAATGTTTACATTGTATATTTTTTTCGCCAACGTAACTTAATTGTTCAGTATTTCTGTCGCGTAGTATTCAGGCTCCGCCGAGGGTGACGCAACTATAGATTTTTCATTCATGAATTTATTAGCCCTATATATTTTCTATGTATTAGAAGAGTTTATATTTCAAATCATAGCTAAAAATCGTACGATGTCGATGTATTCCAGTGTCAGGAGCTAGGCACAGATACTCTAGCTAGGCCTAGATCGGCTGAGCTATGACGTCGTGCGTTTAATTATATTTTTTTTACTTTAATTATACTATATAATGTTTTTTCTTCATATTTTTTCATAAGAAAGCCAAAAATCAAAGCTTCCCATATTTCTAAATTAAACTCTGTCGTATATTCGGGGCGCATACTGATCATTTAAATGAAGGCAACCATTGATATATCATACGGATTGCCGTGTCTTCCATAAATGCTTTTCGTGTCTCTTTCAACTCGGACATTGCTCAAAACAGCTCCCTCATAGGATTCCACAGAAGAACTTTTTTGTCAAATTACAATAATGTGTGTGTGTGTGTGTGTGTAAATGTACAGCGTTAATAGGAGCAAAAAAAGTTCAATTGAAATTCAGTTAAGCCAACTTGTAAATTTCTACAATGAATTTTTCCCCAGTTTAAGGAGCATTCCCAGCTATTCACCAGTGGTGATTGTGGTGTAAGAAGATAAACGCTTCGATATTAAGGATATTATATTTGACAAAGGTGTGACAGACTGTGGATCTACAATTCGTCACAAGCTATCATCTTTATACATTACAGAAAACGACCGAGTCACGCTTGTAGTTTAAAACTTATTTTTTTTATGGCAAAATAAACCATTCATACTTTATGTTAACGACTGTCGCAAGCTATTTCGCTGAAACAAAATGAGATAATCACCTCTCAAATTCTAAATAAGCAAAGCTCGAAAAAGGAATTGTTTAGTAGATTGGTCATTCTTTCGTCGGGAAACGTAATTTTTTAACAAAAAAACAGGCAAAAGGCCCTAGTTGCCCTTATTGGGCAAATACTTTTTTCTTTCCTTTCAAAATGAGCCAAAGATCAAAAAAATTGATGCATACGTATGCAAGCACCTATAACAGCGTAGGGCGATTCAAATCAACGAGAAAGATCATGCAAAATGAAGGTGATTCCAATCGTCAAAAAAATTAAGAGAAAACTGACTTCAAAAAAGTAGCTCAGGTAAATATTTGGTTGCATACATCAATAGATATTCAAACTAACAGACTGGGTTAGCTGTCTACAGAGCCTTTCATTGTGTTTACGTTGATTAGATATATTTAATAAGTCAGTTGTTATCGATCAGTGAATAGTATTATGGCCGAGTACCGAAGCAAGCAAGAAAAGTGTTAATAGATAGAAAGTATGTGTTGCGAGACACGATGATGAATATGTGTATGTCTGCATACGAGGGGTGTCTCCCTAGAGCGTTTAGCTATTTTCATTTAATACCCCCACTAAGCAGGCGACTAGTGACTAGCAAAAAAGCCTTCACTCAGGAAGAGTTCAGCTGTCAATGGAGATGGCAATGTGCCTGCAGCCGTTCATGAACGTTCCTTGTTCTTCTATCACCTCTTGATCACAAACTCATTAGATAAAATATATCATTAAGCTATCGGCGTTGTCTATAACACTAGTCGCGCTCATGTCTCTTCGACGTATAGAAGACGTAAACCGACCGAAGACTTGAGCGGTAGTTTCAAAGGCCACGGCCAGATAGCCGATAAGCCTATGGTTAGTAGTGGGATTTTAACAGACATGGAAGCGTCTCGGGCTACTAGAACGCTGTTGGAACACGGCAGCGTTGCTGAATCGTTTAGCTTCCAAGTTCCCATTTTATCGCCATCTCTTCGATGGAGCCTTTAGGAATGGAATTAGCCTCAGTATAAACTTTACAACTGTGACGGACAGCGGCCCGGTAATGTGCGATCTGAAGGATTACTGCACTGATTACTTACAGGCAGGATCAAAAGACACAGGATTACTGACTCTGAAGCACCCTATTTCACAGCCTTCGTATTACGAAGTTCATATTTCGGCATTCTATTATTTAAAACAGCTGTATTCTTGTGAGTGAAGACATTATTGATAATAAATGAAAGTGCAAAGCAACGCGATTCGTAATGCTTCGGACATCGCGCCTCACTGCGCTTACGTGATTGCGCATGCCCGTATCATCATAACGCTGAGCTGAAAAAGCAATACGGCGTTCGGCACTGTTTAGAGCCCGTACGGAACCGCAGAGTTCACGAACCTGTTACGAACGCTGCCGGACGACATATTCAACGTTAAAACCACTCTAGTAAATCTAATCAGAGCCGCAAGTTGATCACAATGAAGATCGCGCCCGATAAACCGATGTGTCTAGTTTAGAGTATTACTATAGGTCGTCGTTGTTGAGGTGAAGAGGGGATTCATATGTTTAACACAAGCGGAATCATTTCGTTACGACGACAAAGCGGGCAATAGAGGATGACGTAGAAGTGAAAACAGATCATTTACAGAGAAGAGGCAGTTAAATGACTTGAATAATGCAAACGATATCCATGCGAAAAGTTGTGACTGCCTTCTTATCTACGATAGGTGGTTAAGATTTGCTACGTTCGCCTCGTTGCACGCAGGTGATCCCGACATGGCAGTAGTGCTATCTGAAATGCCAGTTTCCATATAGAAAAGGGGCAACGAGTAGAGGCAAAGAGGTAGAACGATAGCTGAGCTCGAAGCTGAAGTTTGGCGTTATTGATTACGATCGATTTTCGTCCACAGTCCAACAAAATAACCGTATATGTTTTTCGTAATTACCCAGTACTGACTTGTTATTCTACTAGTTGTATAGGCAGACACTTTCTGCACTACTATTTCCTCATTTTTCTATTGTTTGTAGATATATACGTACGTAACAGCAGACAGAAGTTTTAGAAGGTGAATAACATATCTCGAACCTTCACGGACATTTCTGACCAGTACGATAATTTTTAGGCAGCTAAACATGGCCACCGAATTTTCAGTTTCGTCAACAGTTTTGATCTCTCTTGAAATGTACTAGTAGATACGCAATATATAGATCCTAACACAAGCGGAACGGTACTCTCCGTTTCGGAAAGCTCCTGCTAACGCCTATCTTATACGCGGGTCCATATAGCGAGCTTTCCGTACCATACACGATACCATAAACGAACGGTTAAGTCTTTCATGTTACCTCGTTAATGTTATTACAAATCATAAGATTGTACCTTTTTTCCAGGAATGTCTGGCCTGTGATAGACAGCAAAACCATAAAAATGGGCATATCGCTTTGTGGTTGAAACTACGACAGCTCGCCATAAATCATAACTAGCTTAAATAATTAATGAAGCATAAATTAAATGTAAGCTTTTCAACGATTGTATTGCTACCGAACCCGATTACCTTCTCGTCTGGTTAAAAGACTTGTAACGAACTTCTTCTCTTGAACAGAGCTCGTATGACACGTTTTATATAACTTGAGCTTTACTTAGAGGACCTAGTCGTCTGTCTGCAAGCTGTCACTTATATGAAGATTAACACCGCGCCGACTGGCTAGCACACAGCATTCATTGTTTGTGTGTGAAGATCACTGCAAAATGGCCTTCATTTAAAAATGATGCATCCAACACTCTTCAGTAGGTACTGGACCAAATCAAAATGAGCTAGAATTGCTTTTGAACGTCTCGTATGTGTATGTTGTGGACCTTCAACCTGGAATCGCACGTGGAGAAGTAGTTACCGCCTTTAGTAGAAGATGTGTGAGTCCAAATATCGGTAAAGTAGAAAAAACCTAACCCATTGGATTTTAAAAGGCAACAGTGAGAGAAATAAAAAAAAATGGTGGTTGAGAATACGAAGTGTAATCTTGCTTACAAACCTTAGGGACTCACACTGAAATCTAAACGGATCGAGTTCGTTACACCGCGTCACTTGCGCCTATTCGTTCGTTGTTTAGTACCAGTGATCAGTTCCTTATCAGACGTGTCTTCAGATCGAATCTCTCTATTATAGAGTTACATTATTTTACATCTTATCCGATTGTCTACCTGTTCAGTCCAAATTGATCTCCTGCTGCTTTGATCCGTAGGTTGCTAAAGTTTCATCCCGGGAAGAGCTGTGCGTAATATGGCAATGATTGGATAAATATTTTCGCGCAGGGGAGAATTTTTCTCTCATAAACCGTAATCCCAAACAGGCTGACCATCTATTAGTAAAGCGTCAAAAAACAATCAGCCAGCGGGTATTTCTAAAGGGTTTATATTGCCTGTTAAGGGCAATCGTATTTTCCGTTCGTTAACAAAACAGACGCAGTAGTTTACTGATTGTTCTGCTGCCGTTTTGGAACAAATTTTTTAAATCTACCTTCTTTGAGTAAATGGAAGTTCACAAATAAGTTGGGAACGATCCACTGTTTGTTGGCTGAGCGACATGTCGACGAAATATCTCCGTATATACGTAGCTTACATAGAGTGTTGCAGACAGTGTAACGTTTATATGCCATTAGAAAAGTCGAATACCTCTCGATACATATCTTTTGTAGGTATTGAAAATATCAAACAGCAAAGATCACAATTGTCATTTATTAAAAAAGAATATAACGCCCGCACATTATTTGCGGCCAACGGCCTAGTTATTCGACAATATGGCGGCAACAAAAAAGTGCGCAGTGACAAAATTACCGCGACCCACTCAATTTATGAGGCTAATAAAATGACGCTTATATCTTATCTAAGAGCCGCTGCGACCGACAGACGAATGGCAGCAGAGTTAGTTAGTGACAAAGTGGACCGTAGAGCTTGGTTTGAACTACGTGAACAGTTAAGCGTCGGAACTGGTACGTAAGATTGGAGTCTGCGGAAACGCATCCTCGATAAACGTCACAAATGTTATTGCAGAGGAACTAGGCAGCTGGGCAAATATTGGTTTTGCGAACTTGTAACCAAGCTCAATACACCGTGTCAACAACAGAAGTCATGATTATTACAGTACATATTGTTACGCGGAAACGCCAGTCGAGTCAACATTTTCTTCAACAGACTGCACATCCGTAATTGTCCCAACTGGGCAACTTCAAAAGCGGACTGCAAATACGACATATATGCCAGGCCATTGCATCGTGAGTGCCCGACGAGTGTGTGAATGCGTCCGATATAATTTCGCTTAAGGTAATCTACCACCTCGTGCGACCCATGTGTCGTCCATTATAATAATGTCTAAGCCTTTGAAAAACATTGCGAGCCGTCTAAAATTCAAACTTATAATATCAAACGCCTCCTTTCGAACCTGCAGAAGTCAATCGAAGCTAGTATAAGAGTTGATCGTTATCAAAACATGAAGCTTGCCCGGAGTTGCCGAAGGAGCCGCCTAGATCAATTTTTCCAAAGGAACGTTCCGGTCCTGGCACCTAGGCACGGGAAATGTATCGCGCTTCCATAAACCGCACTACGGTAGTCGGTAGATTTTACACCGACCCCCTAGCTCTCGCTCTGACAACATACAAAAACTCTTTATTCGTGCGTTGTGCCAATTCTGGACATTTATGGGCCCTGCTTTCCTCTATAAGTAACAGTGATGGCTTGCTCTAATTGAGGCGGGGAAACGTGGAGCAGCGGTTCTCCCTATTTCACATGTATGCGAAGTAATCCGTTCGATTAATCGATAGGATACTGGCTTTAGCTTCCAATCCTGAGACTTTTGCGAGCAGTCGAGGGTCTTTCCTCTGCGTTTTTCGTACCTTGTTCCGAAACCACCGTATTGGCACTAACGGTGCTCATTTTACGAATTCCCTATTCGTGTAGGACCAGGATTAACAGGTTAATCTTTACTAAAAGTGTTCTTTAGGCAAGTTTACGCATTTCTCAATGTAATGCTGTTAACCACTGTCTTGGGGTATTGCTCATTATCTTGATGCCAATATAAATACGACCGGAAGTTCCCAGCCGCCCACACTACCGCCAAGCATTTTTAACTTCACGAGTGATATTTCGGTTCCACGTCGCTGAAACGGCGGCTGGAGTATGTGATAAGTTGCTTAGAACTTTGACTTTTGCGATTACCGCATCTGTAACCTCGTTTCCGGTTTGCGCAGGAGGCAACACGGAACTGGAAATCTCGAGCTTCGACAATGGATAGGCCAGTTCATGATAAGAGCCTCAAACTAAGATTTTGCGTTGACTCAGGTTTAGAGCCAAGAAGCACAATCGTCGTTCTACACCCTCGAATTTCCGCGGCAACATTTTAACCGCAAGCCCGCGGATCCGATCGTCCCAGCGCCTAATGTACCTAAATGTAGAATACCTAATGTAAGTATCGGAGCTGTTAAGTTGATTATGACTTCGTCAAAATAGATAGGATCCATCCAGTATTTCAGAATCCCAGCGACCTCGTCCATCAGTATCTGGAATGTCGTGGGCCTATTTGCAAAACCAGAGGACGTGCCCTAAAGCCGGTAAGTGGATATATTCAGATGTGTACCTATTAGTTTGCCTTGATGTGATATGGATGGTACTGCAGGTAACATCAATAGCTTGGTCGATGCGCGGTGGCGGGCACAACCCCATCGCGCAGTGCTATTGTATGCGCTAGCCATAAAATTGCAGCGTCCTATCCTATCTCTATATAGACAACAGGAAAAGACCGTAGTATGTTCTTTCGTGCCGCAGTGTATTATGGTTCGAAACTCATCATCTCAGGCCTGTGTTCAGGCAACCAGGTGAAGTGTTCGCTATGCAGGGCGGCTTGTGCTCACTCAAGTGTATTCTATTGAACTTGCATATGGCCTTACAACATAAATGAAGCCTTAAAGATAAACCAATGGGCGGAAATACATGACACCGGTAACAGACTGCACTAGCGCGGCAAACCAGTGGGCGCAAGTCAAGAGAACAGTCTTGATGCTATAGTTTTTCAAAGTACAATACTTAGACTATTTCTACGCCCCTCAAAACTAGGTGCAGATATATCGCTCCGTGTTGGAGGCTAGTGGTCTATGGAAACGCTTAAAGACAGGGCATGTAGTTTCGAGCACTTTTCTATTAAGATCACATAGGGCCCTAAAGGTGGACTTTGCAATTGAAATCGGTCGCATATACCCAAGACTGGCCGCGCCACCGCCTGATAAGGGTGGACTTACGAGTAGTTACTTCCTGTGTCGACAGGGTCAACTCGTATATGCGGGTGCGGTTCTACGATCAGCCATTCGAGTGTTCGTTGGAGTATATCCCCGTGGGAGGCGACGAGAAAACTCAGAGTACTATGCCTGAATAAACTAAAAAAGGGGACCCCTTTATCTTTACCTAGACCGGCTAAAGCCACCTGTCGACCTATAAAACCTTGAAAACGTGTGCCAGAGTAACAGTCTCGTCAAGTATTGTGACCGCTTCTACCTACTATTCGACGTTCACACAGCTCTTCCGCGGGTACCAGAGCTCCAAAATGAAGGACAGAAGTGGTTTTTTGCCATTTGTCCGTTTGCACTCGAATGATGGAAGGAAGTGTAAATGTGAATTCAACGAAGAACAGCAGTCATTTAAACACGATCTTACCGCCTTATAGATAGGACTTACTAATAAGCCCTAAAGCCCAAAGCGATATCCAACGAACGAGCTAATCTCGTTCGTTGGATATCGCAGGGCTTTCTGAGGTTCTCGTATCTATCCGTATAATGCTCAACGAAACTATACACTAGGTGTTAATCAGATAGCGGTAAGGTCAGATGATAATGGAGGTAAAAGTACGAAAGAAGGTAAGCACTGACTGACACCAGGGCAAAGCTAACCAAAATATTTTGATTATATAAAATAACCTAACTACAAAGTAACATAAGCCATAATTACGTGAAGGATAGCAGAGACAGCAAGCACAGAGTAAATAACTGAAGAGTCTTCGCCGTAGTTGATCAAAGAACGATTTGCAAGGGAAATGTGAGTAAGAACTGATGTGTCCAACAGCGGTAGTAATCTTACGAGAAAAAATATAGCGAACCCTTTTCACTGTAGGAATAATATACACTGTGTCAACAAATGTATTTTTTCGTCGCAGCGTCACTTACCTAAATTTATATGATAGCAATGAGATCGTTTCTGCTGTAATGGAATTTTCCTTCTCAGGTCCCCCTGCACCCCGAGGCTCGAGAAGTCATATTTGTGGATGCCACTACAATATAAGCCACTTGCAAGCCTGCTCAGTAATCTAGGAAACAAGCGGCAGAGGGGGTCGCCGCTAACGAATTATATACACGACGTCGTTGATGATCAATTTCGCCCGGGGGTTTCATTTTGACCGGAAATAATTGAATATCGAGTCTGGTGAATTCATGCTCAGCGCCAGGAGCTCTGAGCTTTGTAACTACGGTTAGAATGGAGCAATGGAAATGAACAGTTGTCAGATTGCAGAACATTTCGGATTTTATAACAAGATTGTACAACAAGAGTGATATTAAATGAAGTAATGGCAGCTGCCCATTGGCCGTAGACCGCGGAGACAATATATCGAACGATTTTGTAGGAAGTCATAAAAAGTAAGCACAAGTACTAAACAGTAATTTGTTATTTTAATGAATGACACAAATATGGCGTGTTCTATTGAAAAAGTGACCGATCCTAATCTTATGCGCAGTGTTCTTCGTGTACGCTTGTCACCTGAAAAGTTCATTTGTATTTATCAAAGCTTGCCCTATATTTTATGACCTAAATTAGGAATTTTTGTCAGGCTTTCCTAAACGTATCCTATTCGTCCTGGTACGAATATTCATTGAGTTGCAGCGGTCGAGATTCGGTCGTAGTTTCTAACAGCACTATTATAATTTTACGACTCTCACGCTAGCAACTACGCCGCGACTACGTTACCATTGAATCATTTGATTCCCACCACTCCTTTTTCCTGCCATAACAGTATGTTTTGACTAAAGATTAGCATAGTAGTTGGGACGAGTTGCAAGTGTCCTGGTCTCTGTTGTTCTATAGCGGTCGCACCAAGCCTGGAAACATATCTCAGAGGTGATCGTTGCCACTGTAGCAGTTACAACGGACATCGTCAACACCGACCGCTGCAGTCGCGGGCCACTCTGGGTCACAGGAGCTGATGGACGAGTGCGCCGAGACATACTGCTTCGTTTATGCCCCGTCTCTAAACGAGAATCTGTGCGACGAAGACCAAACTGGTAAGGTGCCTACGGAAGAAGGTGTTTTTTACGAAAGGGATTGAGTGTGGGCGAAGCATTCTAAAGAACGAGAAGACGGAAGAGAAAGCCAGCTTTCAGTAGACGTTATCTGCAACAGCTGTCGTGGTCAGAACAGCCACAGCCCGTACGGACCCGAGAGCTGCCACGATGAACGTGCAGGAAGGCGCGTTGTTATGGATGAAAGGGTCACCAAATAGACGTGAATGGATCATACGGCAGGACCGAAAAGTAGGCACCGCCAGCGCAGCGGCGAGAGAACGTTACGACGTTAAATCTCCAATACGTTTCTTTGCCCTTTTCAGCTTTTCCAGTATCCGGTCACCAATGACACTAGAGGATTCGTTGCGGGCAACATCATCCGCTAGATGTCATCCAGATCCTTTTTTCGACAGCGACTACATCTGCCGATCTGATACTTCAAGAAAAAGAAATATTTGGAGAATTTGCAAGTAAAATGGGAAAAAAAAATGGGGACTCGCAAAAGCCTTGAAAAGTTACCCAGCGTTACTTAGTTGCAGCAGACCTCGAAAATCTTCAAAAATTTTCGCAATACGAATTAGTAGTGAGGTACAATCCACGCTGCTTTTCCCATTTCATGTATTAGGCATTTAATATGTTCATAAATATCAAGGGCATTTAATATGACGAGCAGACGGCTTTCCCTGCGCGATTTTAACGATCGTTTGTAAAGTAAGATGCTCCAATATACCACTCGATTTTGTTTTATGTTCGATTTTGATGTAACGCAGAGTTCGTTCATGTTTGGCAGAACAAAAACCTGTGGTAAGACTTTGTAGCAAGCCCTTAACTAAACAGTAAATCTCTTCCGAGGAAACATTTTACCGAGTAATAGAGAAATAACCCATGTAATAAAGCAATATATTCTATTTTTGAACCCCTCGTATACGGACTTTATTCGTGGTCTTTACGTATGTCATATATCGAATAGATATTAGCTACTCTCTTAGTTTCTTAAGAAGTTCAGTAATAATCTTCCTTCAACAACAAACAACAGAGAACAATTCATTCCTTTGTGGAAAAAATAGATTTTGTTTGTAAAATCTGTCTAGTGCCAGACGAGCGCATTTTCAAACTCAAATTTGATACGAAGAATATATATAATTAAAAAGACCTGAGGCGAATTAATCCTGGAACAAAAATGCGGAACGTTCAGGGTAGTTGGGATTATAAATGGGCAGACATTGTTAGCAAGACTAGAAAAACCAAAGCAATGAAGCATTATATGATAGTAGACCTTTTAGAAGCCCTACAATTATGTAACTAGCAAGCAAAGAGGGGGCTACAATGAAATTAAATGAAACTAAACCCATTGATACGAACCACGTTTCCAATTGAAAATGGATTTCCAATCTTGTATCTCTGAAATATCTCTACTACAAATTTTTAGTTTTGCACAATATACACATTAACAGGAATGTATAATTAGCTTCGAGTGGAAATAATATCGATGGTTGGTCACACTTCGTTGTCCTGTATAGCGGAGGCAAAGGAAGGCCCTTCGTTATTTAGATGTTAACAGATCTGCACACGAGCTACCTATGAAGCCCCTTAATTCTGTGACGAAGAAATTGGAAGTCGGTCCGTCCAAGCGGTCATTGCGACCGGCTGACAAATCTGTGATTGCCTTCGATTGGAAATAATCTCAACTTGGGTCGATTATAGTCATTGGTAATGTAAATGTCCCTTAGCTGATAAGAAGTGTTGTAATGATTGGGTAAAGCTTAGCATAACTTCTAAGGGAACACAGTTTTATATTTTCGTATAGTTTGAACTTGGTCCGACAAGGATCTACAACGGAACAAATACTTCTATCGTGTTCTTCACGGTAAAGCCAGTCTGGAGACCGATGCTAAATTTTCCATACGATATGCATTTTATCATCAAAAATAACAAATAGTAAAAAAATGTAGGCCTTATAATTGTGTAGTTATAAATTTTAAAAACAACGTTTTGGGCGTGGTCATACCTCAAAATATTATTTCCTAAAACACGGATTTCAGCTGGCTGGAGCTTTGTCACATCTACTTCTACGGGGGCCTAAATTAAATTTTGCTACTAACATGTTCGAGAAGTCCCTGAGGGTGACAGGTTTCAGACGGCTTGGCCAAGGTGTCGACCTGTGCGAGCACTATCGAGGTACGCATGTTGTCAATCTCCGCCTTAAGATCTCAAGGGAGTATGATACAGAGAAATGGCTGTTGTACCGTTTCTTTTCGGTTGAATTTTCGGACTGTTGCAAATTTCTTCTTCACAATTTTTTGTATCGATATGCAGATTAACTTTTATTATTAAACAAGGCCACTGTGTAATTTCGACGTGTGAACGATACTTACAAACACGTCACCGTTAATATCCTCTATTGAGACTCGCAGAACAATTAATGCTATAGAAGATACTACGATTGGTTGTCTCACTATTCAAGACACTTCAAAAATGGGAAATCAAAGTTTGCCTAGAGCAGAGATGTAGAAAAAACACACTTTGTCGTAAACACAACCCAGCCAGCCAGCGGTGTCATCCATCTATGTTAGTTATATACATAACTTAATCGAGGCGCTACAGTATCTAGCAGAACGACACATGTTTATTACGTGTTCGTCGTCACCCTATACTACCTCCGTTCATTTGGTAGCTGTTTCCCTTCAACACGTTTTAAATCTTTTAGTTTGGTTTTCAACGGTGTTCAGCTAGCTTTTGAGTTCCTTGTTACTGTAACATGTGTAAAATGTACTTACTATTGTAAAACGTGGGAAATTTTGGATCCCACTGATCCGAAAAGCTAGGAATGATCGGCACGATATCTAGAGGATATAGTAAGTGCAAAAGAACCTCACAGCCAAACCCTTGCAGGACAGCTTTAATGATCTTTTCCGTATGCGCGATTTTGTATTTCTATGAACAAGAATGATCTTGCCCCATTTATCGAGCCATTCTTATTGGATAGCGTTATTTAAACAATTCAACTAGTCTCTATAGTCTACCGCAATGCGTAGCATATAAGGCCCTCTCAGACTATTTAGGGCAAATTATTTTTTTTTTTAGATAGGTATTTAACCATTTGACGTAACGGTGTGTACAGAGATCGTTCAATGTGGGTACGGGTCGAATGGTGCAGTAAAGCGGACAGTAGCATTAAATTATCGACTAGAGCAAACTGCACCCTCCAAATGTAAAATCTAACCTTCGAACGTTTTTTCAGCCTTGTCAATGTATGCTAACGTCACAAATATCCCATTACGCGCCAATCGATTTTTGATCCCTGGAAATAGCAGGATAAAGTAGTCTTTGAGAATATACTTTTTTTTCACACGCAACAAATTCAACGCAATTTTAAAAATGGAGAAGCATGGATTTTTTGACGGTGTTGTTATACGGGTAAAAAGGTCGTGTAGCGGGAGACTGTTTACGCGCTTATATATGAATGTACATATCGATGACGTTGTCAGATCAACTCATTGTCTATTAGCTTCTACAGCGAAGTTAAAAATGAGCTCCTGCAATCCTACTGACATCGGATTTTAGACGGCCAAACGTAGGTCAGGTTATTCTTTAGAGCAACATCTTTACTTTGACGTTTAAAATTAAAAAATAAAAAAACTTCGACCTCTAGAAATCCCAAAGGATTATATTTGAGCCTTACTCAGGTGGCGGGAACAATCTCGCCTAGCGGCCAGATCGGCTTCGGGGAACTGATATAGCCTTAGAAAAAAGGAAAAAATAGAAGTTCGTCTCATTTAATTAAGGAAGGAGTGGTAAAAGTTTTGAGGACGCGGCGAAAATGAAAATACGTGGTCATTGAGGGAACCTAGAGTTATTTAGTTAGGCGATTCAACTAAAAATTTCTAGCTGGTTTTAAGTTAGCTATAATTATCTTAACTTATGCGTTGGGTACACGTCACGGTTAGGCACAAAAAAGTGTCTAATAAGAAGCGCTCATACGGATATCACTGATTCCTGCTCTGTACAATGTTTTAAAAAAGTTGAAGTTATATTTGTTATAAGCTCCCTTTAAAAATATCGCTTATTGCATCTTAGATCGCAGTTTAATTAAATAATCTAGCCCTATTCGCGTTATCTAGTATGGTCTAGTACTAAAAGCAAGGAAACATAGGAACTTGCATTCATGATTTACTTGATCAAATATCCTCAGTTCTCAAAAAAGATCTGATAACCTTACCAAATGACAAAAGTACTAAACGAATGAGTTATCGTTGTGATACTTGAAGCTTCTAGTACGCTTCGTCATCTCCTGCTACTCATAGTTTTTCACACGCACCCACATTGTCCATTTGGTCTTGTCCTGCCGGACTCTTGTCCTGTGTCGCGCGGACTATATCATTATCCGCCCTATTTCATCACGTCACCAACCAACTCCTGCCGCCCGATCCCGTTTCCTTTTACCATGACTCTTCATGATCTGTATCATATGGTCAGACACAGCCTTCACACGCCCCCTCTAATGTCAGTAACTTCGACAAGGCCAATTTCAAACCCTGTAAACATGACTCACATGTACTGCCATAGTAGCAGTAACGATACGTTACCTTGCATTGGCGCGGTGACAACTACTGCTGTACGACACAGAGGAGGTCATCATCGAACCATAACAATCTAATAGCTTCGTCAGACCGCTCTAGTAGGATAGGCCAGCCAATCCACCAGAAGTAGGCGCGTATTCGGCAGCCGCTGGAAAACAAACTATTAAGGGGTAGCCTAAAATTACTATCAGAGATGAATTAGAACAACAGAAAATGTTATGTACTTTAATGTTTTACAGAAAAATTTACTGAAGAATTGGCGGCAGGGGGCTTCGTAACTGGTACGGTAGAGAATGCTGGGTGCTTTCTTTAGATAAAAAAGATAATTGCATTTGCAGAAATAGTTTATCAAAACAAAAGCAATGCACTAATCTGACTATGAAAGTTCTCGGCTCTTACTTAGCCTTTTTTATACTCTCAATTAGTCTATTGTCCGCATGTGCCAGCCAGAAATGCATAATGTCAGGGCATAGAGCTCCTTTAGAGAAACATAACTATGACCCTGATTAATATTATGACTGGTATATTAAGGTCTAAATCAAGAATACCGGTACTAAAACTCAATGGTCAGTTTGAAAAATAAAGACTCGCCCGAAATACTATGAAATGTGGAGTAACTGAATAGCAATATACAGGAAAAGCGTTGCCAAATAGTTTTTCCTCGATGTCTTCAGACTGGGAATATCAGGCATTGGGATTCTAGAAAGCCACTGTAGGTACGGCCACAGATATTGCGTTCTATTATAGCAGTTTAATGAGCGATCGTCGTATTGTAAGTGTATCTAGGTGGGATGCGACCCAACTGAAAAATAATTTATAATCATGTTTATCAATTTCAAGAAAAAGCGAGAGCGGTAGGGAATAAGTAAGTCAACTTTTGTTTGGGACTTGTGAAGGACCACATCAATCAATTATTGCCTGATTCGAAACTGGAACGCACAGTCAGGGTGGAATGGCTTTTACCGCAGGCAAAATGATTCAAGGTGCATCGATGTACAACAGGTAGACGTACGCCTGTAAGTCGTCTGAAGGAACAAGGACGATTCAGCCACGCTGATCACCCCTAGGAGTGTGCTTCTGTGTATCTGTGAGGATTATCAAAGTTACTGGGGAAATAACTTCAATTGGCTTTCAAACAAGTGCACACTTGAGGTCGGAATGGCGCTAACTCGGTGTTAAAATAACTATTCCATAGATTCTGCTACACTTCGCGGAACGAACATGTTATCCAGAAAGTACTTGGGAATAAAAACACATATTATTCTGAACATATGTT